TTGGGTGAGTCCGCAAACGAAACTGATCTCGTCCGAGCTCCTGCAGCTTCGCGGTCCAGTCCTCGACCGCCGTGCTCAGCTCCTGGGGTGGCTGACCGCTCACGTAGGATGCCTGGCCTCGCGAGCTGCTGGCCACTGCCCAGGATTGCGAGGGCGCTGGAAGCCGCTTCGGACTTGGCCTCTCCGCAATGTTTGCAGTGCTGCATGGCCTCGGTGTTCTTCCCGCAACTGCAGTGGGCGCACTTCCAGAGCGGGCCCTTCGGCTTGGCCTTGGGCTACTTCGGGTACTGGGTGGCCTCCTCGAAGCTGGAGTCGTAGGTCCAGTCCCTGCCAGCCGACCAGGTCGCACCTCCGAGGCCCTTGCCTTTTGCTCCTGCTCCTCTGCCTCTGCCGGCATGCTGCGTTCGCCAAGGCGCAGCGGGCCGATCTGATGGATTCCAATACCGTGGATTTGGGCCTGATGCAACAGCTCGCAACACATCTCCTCTCGCTGCTGCTCCTCTAGACCCATCTCTCCAACCCATTCGGTACTCTTTGCCTTGGCTCGATGAGTGATGCGCCTCGAGTAGACCAGCGGCCTGGCCAAGACGTGACAGCGTGCGTGCCCAAGAGCGCGCACGCCTCGCTCTCCTGTGCCAGGAGGCTTCCGCCTCGTCGCCCGTGGCCGCCAGAGTCCGAAGCGCCTGCGCGCGGCAGATCGCACGCCTGGGGTCAGACCTGAAAGGGCAAAGTTCGATATCGGGTGTGCCCTGTGCGCGGGGCTCAGGCCAAACCCTCCTCCTTGAGCCAAAATGGCTACGGAATCCCCTCTCCCTCCTCCTCCTCCTCCTCCTCCTCCTCCTCCTCCTCCTCCTCCTCCTCCTCCTCCTCCTTCTCTTGCGGTGGTGGGCTGGGGGCCAGCTCGCTGATGTTGCAGATTTTAATTGAGAAGCCATGGATGTTCCCCTGCGCGCTGACTATATCCTCGGGGTAATTCGCAGGCCTCGCCGGGCGGCGCGCGCGCTAAACACCAGCGCCAGCGTCGCAAATATCGCGAGTCTAGTCCCTTATCGAGCACCATCATGCGCAGGAGACACGGTGCGATATCACTTAGACGTTATATTCCCTCGCATGAGGTGTTCGGGCCCTCGGGTAGTTCTAATGGCACAGGAGGTGCGGCCGCATCTGTCTCCAAGGCCTCCTGGGACACGCTCGTGCCGCGCGGGTCTTTGAAGTCGCGCTCGGGCGCGCCCTGGCCCCCGAGCTCTTCGGGGGAGGAGGAGGAGGAGGAGGAGGAGGAGGAGGAGGAGGAGGAGGAGGAGCAGCAGGAGCAGCAGGAGCAGCAGGAGCAGCAGGAGCAGCAGGAGCAGCAGGAGCAGCAGGAGCAGCAGGAGCAGGAGCAGAGGAGGAGGAGGAGGAGGAGGAGGAGGAGGAGCAGGAACAGGAGCAGGAGGAGGAGGAGGAAGAGGAGAAGGAGCAGGAGGAGGAGGAGAAGGAAGGAGCAGGAGGAGGAGGAGCAGGAGGAGGATCCTGGCCCGAGTGCTCGCGCAGCTCGTCGAGCGTTGGCGCGTCTCTTGGGGCCCCGAGCCACGTCAGACAGACGGCCTCTCGCGCACTGCTGGCAACTGACACTTCCCCGGGCCTGATGAGGTTCCTGATCCTCCTCCTCCTTCTCCTCCTCCTCCTCCTCCTCCTCCTCCTCCTCCTCCTCTCCCCTCCTCCTCCTCCTCCTCCTCCTCCTCTTCCTCCTCCTCCTCCTCCTCCTCCTCCTCCTCCTCCTCCTCCTCCTCCCCCCCGACGATCACACTCATCGAAGCAAGTAGGACTCTCCCTTCGGAAGCTCCTGCGGGGCCCCGCAGGCCGAGGCCGCGCGTCGCGCTGCCCTCGCAGAGATAGCGCGCGGCGCTGCCCGCCTTGATTGGTCTGCCCCCGCCCTGGAGACGTTTGATCTGAATGGGGCGCTCGCTTAACTGCCGCGTTGGCCCACGTTCCCGCGGGCGTTCGGCTTTCCCCGGGGGGGCCCCCGGCCATCCGACTCTCTGCCGAGGCGGGTCGTCGGCCACCCCGAGTTTGAGGATGCAGCATGCTCGTTTTTCGGGGGGGCTCCGCGCCGAACCCGGATCCGCGGGGGCACCCCGGCCGCGCCCGAAGCCAGCGGGGGCCCCGGCGAACGGCGCGCTTCGGCGAGGGGCCGAGGGCCGAGCGCGAACGCGCTGCTGCCTGTCTACGCTCGCAGCGAGCTCGTGACCTGGGCCGTCGCCTTCGGGAAAAAAACACACTGTGGGAACACACACACACACACACACTGTGTGTGTGTGTGTTTTTCCCCCACTGTGTGCGTGTGTGTGTTTTCCCACAGTGTGTGTTTTTTCCCCCACAGTGTGCTTTTTTTCCTGCAGGCCGCCCCTTCTCTCATCTCAGCGCCCGCTGCAGCTGCGAGGAGGGGGGGTGTCGTCGACTGCGAGGGGCCCCCCGAGCTCGCGGGCAGGCCCCAACGCCGGAGTGGCGCGCGATGGGGTCGCCAACGAATGCGAGGCAGTCTCGGCGTGGGTGGGCGAAGCCCGCAGGGCGCACTTGCAATCTGCCCTGAGACCGCGGCTCGTCGAGAGGCGGGAGGTAGCTTGCTTCTCGGCGACCGACCCGCTGGACCCCGCGCCTTCCCGCCCATGGTTCGATGCGTTGTTTCTGGCCCCAGGGCTCCCCGCGAGACCCGCCAGACCAGGACCCCCGCTCTCGCCGACGCCAACACGATGAGCTGATCTCTTCCGCCCCTGCCATTCCCTTCTAGACCTTGGCCCAGCGCTCCTTCGCCGGTTGCCGGCGTGGATCCATTGGGGGCCGTGGCCTCCTTGACAGCGTCGCTGGATCGGGGTCTTGGGGCGTGGGGCAGGCCTGCGCGCGTGGCCCCTGCCTTCCCTGGGGCGATATCCCCGCGCGCTGCCGATGCCTTCCCGCGCGCGCGTCGCCCATGGACCCCCATGGTTCTCGATGGTCCGTGGGCCCGAGGTCGCGCCATCCAGGCGGCGCGGCTACTGCATGACAGCGGATGCACGCATAGTCCGCGAAGGCTTAAGATACTCCGGCTTCCGTGCATCCAGAGGAATGAGGCAGAGGCTGCCCTCCATCAGCCTTCGTCGCTTGCGTCTGTCCTCGACCCTGGGGCCCGAGGTCTCCAGGACGCATTGGCCCCGCATCCGGCGCATCCTTTTGCTTGCGCGGGCGACGTCCGCGCGGCTACTGGAGATCTATGTCATGCGCTTCCAGTTTTAGTTACTTCTAGCATAGTGGATGAGGGACACTAGTCACATCATTGGTTTTCACTGACAGCATCAGAAGTGTTCTCGCGGATGAGATGGACATGAATTCGGCCAGTGACGTTCTGAGAATGGTGGGAGCAAGAAGTTATCAGTTCAAAGTCTGCGTCCATGCAGACTTTCTTGGATTCCATCTTGGGCCCAGAGGTCGGGCGGCCTCGTGGACTAGCCCGCGCGCCTCCTTGCTCGTGAGAGCGGGGCACTTCGTGGCGTCGAAGCCATCCATGACCCAGAACATCCGCGCCCATAACCTGCCAGCGCAGCCCGTGGTGTCGCGCGTCTCCCAGCTCCATCTTGCCGAGAAGAGAGTGGTGGACACTGAAGTCTCTGCTTGGCAGAGGCTGATGGTGGGACCGAGATTCGTTGTCCCGACAGACGTCATTCGTCAGTTCGATGTTCATGGATTCGATTATGTCCCAGATGCATTCTGCTTCCAAGCAACACAGCCATATATCGTGCTGCAGTTCGGAGTTCTGTCTTCTCTGGGATCGCGACTTAGATTTCACCGTCCTCAACATTAAGACCCGGATGTGTTCGCGACGCCGAGGCCCCGTGAGTGGTTGGACGAATAATATACCACATGTTGGTTTGGTGCGCGCAGAATTTAAGCGGCTGCGCCGTGAACTATCCGACCGAGATGCAACGGACGTCCAGAGGGAATTGCGTTGAGCCTCGAAAGCAGCCTTCCTTGAACAGCCCGTTGCACCTCTTCTTGGCGAGGGCCAGGTGGCGCTGGCCATGCGCCGAAAGAGGTTGCCGACCCCCTGCATCGTCACATCTATATGTTGGTCAACGAGGCTGCGCCCTTTGCCGCCTCTGCCCAGCTCGAGAGTATGTGCAATTGCTTGCCGACCACTAGGGCTGTTAGATCGAGGGCCATGGCTTGTCGTTTCGGGTGCGACGCTATGCCCAGGGACTCTGTCGATCACTACCTGCGCTGCCCTGCCGCTCTGAGCCTCCTGCCTGACCTCCTCTATCTCTCTCTTGCCTGAGCTGGAATCGTTTGCAGCATCTGTTTGTGGGCGAATTCTCCCCCGGTTGAACAGCCAGCGGATTCTGTGTTGGTTGCTTGTGCACAGCACATACCATGCTCTGAGAGCGCGCGATTGGCGCGGGCCAGGCTGCCGGCCTTCCCACATTGGCGGGCGAGGGCCCGCGCGCTTGCCAGAAGTCGACCTGGGCACCAGACGCCTGCTGCCGCGCCGCGGGCGCGCCCGCGGGGGGGCCCTGCAGCCGAGGCCCCGCCCGCGCGCCCCTCCTCCGCCCCCTCCTCCTCCTCCTCCTTTTCTTCCTCCTTTTCTTCCTCCTCCTCCTCCTCCTCCTCCTCCTCCTCCTCCTCCTCCTCCTCCTCCTCTCCTCCCCCCTCCTCCCCCTCCTCCTCCTCCTCCCTCCTCCTCCTCCTCCTCCTCCTCCTCCTCCTCCGCCCTCCTCCTCCTCCTCCCTCCCTCCTCCTCCTCCTCCTCCTCCTCCTCCCTCCTCCCTCCTCCCTCTCCGTAGCCATTTTGGCTCAAGGCTCATGCTTTTGCGGGCTGAGCCCGTATTGGCATTCTCGGATACCGCTAGTCCGCGGCAGTGCCAGAGCGCTTGCGCTCGACAGCTTTTCGCCTTCACCGAGGGGTTGGGCTCCCTCATCAGTTTTGCCGCCACGGCCAGGCAGCCCTCAGGGCCGTGGCTCTCGCCGCTTGTCCCTGCGACGCCGACGCCGCCATGGCCCCGACGCGCAAGGAGAATGCTTCGCCATGGTATTGCAAGTGGTGCAGGCATGACGTCACGAATCAGCCGTGGTTCAACGCCTCCACCCTGGTGTACTGCAAGAAGTGCGGCCTGCACAAGAGCAACTGTTTCAAGGAGAACAAAGCAGCGTCGCAGCCCAGCGTCTCGGCCAAGCAGCAGTCGCTCGCGGCCAAAGTCAAGGAGCTCGAGGCGCAGCTCGCCAAGCTCCGCGAGCATCCCCCTGGGCAAGGGCCAGCGGCTACGGGTACAGGTGCGAGCCCACCTTGGGCTGCCGCGCCTGGGGATGCTGACACCGTCAAGAGGAGCCGTATCAAGATGCTGGATCAGTTGCTTCGGGTCACTACTGACCCTGCTGATGCTGGTATTGTGGCCAAATGGCGTGAGGAGCGAGCTAGGTTGGATGCTGAGCTCTTTCAGGATAGGCCCATTGAGCATCAGGCCAGGTCATTGGCGTCAAGGCTGTCCTCCGCTCGTGCGCGACAGGCTACCATCCAGGCCACTCGCGACGAGCAGCAGAGGAAGATCGACGAGCTCACCCGCGGCCTGGCCGACACTGACTCCAAGTTGCAGGAGGCGGCTGCCGAGGTCCTCCGCCTGGAGCAGCAGACTCGCGCCGCCATGTCGCGAGTCCAGCCGCCCGAGGGCACCCAGCCACCGACGTTGGCGGACTTGCTGCCCACCTTCGCGGTCAGCGTGGAGCAGCTGGGCAAGGTTGCATCGGGCCTCGGTCTCGGCGCTGACATGGTCAAGGAGCTGCAAGCTATGGCCAACACGGTCAGCAAGCTGCAGAATATGCCGCAGGCCAAGCCGCCTGAACCTACACCTGCCCATGATGATGAGGATGGTGATGAGTCTTGCGCTGAGCCACCCGACATCGAGATGTCAGAGCAGGAGTACCGTGAGACGCTGGGTGCAGCAGGGGTCCAAGTCGAGGAGAGCGACACCCCTGACATCGTGCGTGAGAAGTTCAAGCGCCTTCAGCAGAGCTACTTGGACACTGTGGCCAAGAAGGCCAAGACTTCGGCGTGAAGGTGCTCGGCTTGATATGCTGTTGCTTTGGCTCTTTGTCACCATGGTCAGCTCTACATCAGCGCAACATGTCGAGAGTCCGCCTCAGTCATCTTCGACGGCGGCTAGCATTCTGGGCAGGGGGGGGAGGGATTCAGCCCCTCGTAGTCACACCCCCCTGCCCACATCGGCGTCTAGTTCCATGGCCTCGGCGGGCACTACGGCGCCTACATTGCTCCCCCCACTGGCCCGCTCCTCGGGGTGGGGGACAGCTCCGACCCTGACGGCGGCCTCACTTACTTCGGTTGAGCCTGCAGCTCCGTCTGGGGCGACCACGGCATCACAGAGGGCTACTCCGTCTACGCCTACGCGGTTGGCCCCTGGCAGCACGCACTGCTCACCGACCTCACCTTCGGGGATTGGCGGCAGAGGGTACCGACCGTCTTCGGACGGCACGCACCGCTCACCGCCCTTGCCCTTGGAGAATTCAGGCGGCAGAGAGTACCGACTGCCAGGGGCCCCACCGGGCCAGAGCGGCCCAGTGTGCACTACCTTGGATGACGATCATGACTTCTTTGAGGACGTTGAGCCTGATATGGAAGCAGATCTGTGTGAAGGCGCATTTCATGAAGCGCCATCTTCGTCCCCACCTTCTTCCCGATTACGCTTCGAGAAATCAAGTCAAGAACGCGCTGCACCTACCTCGCCTTTGCCGCCAGGGAGCACGGAGGCGAAGGTGCAGCCAATGCATGCAGTATCTCAGCCGCAGCTCAAGGGCCTCATCACAACGGTGAATGCTACGAGCTACGGTCCTCTCTTTGACTTTTTGGCTACCTATCGAGGAACTATCTTGCTGGCACAAGAATTGAGGATTACCGACTCCAGGCTTGGCGAGTTTCAGGCCAGGGCCTTGGATGCTGGATGGCACGGGCTATGGGCCCCGTCGCCCTCCACGGGTGACTCAGCCACGTCCAACTTCGGAGGCGTCGCTGCACTTGTGCCGACATACATCATGGTCACAGCCCCACCTGATGATGGGCACATTATCTACCCAGGACGAGCAGTCTGTGCACAGATTAACTGGGGAGTGGCAGGCGGCATCATAGTCGCCAGTGTGTATCTTGTCACGTCCATTGGCATATCGGGCGAGAACATTGAGGTGCTGTGGGCCCTGGCACAGAGAGTGGCAGCATGGAACTCACGGGGCCTCGACTGGATCCTAGGTGGCGACTGGAACTCCGACATCGATGCGCTCAATGTTCGCAACTGGGTCGAGACCATGGCAGCCGCCCACTACGTGCCCGACCAGCACACCTGCATCACCGACGAGGGCAAGAGCACCATAGACTATTTCGTCGTCTGTGCCAATCTAGCGTCTCGCATCAAGGGCAAGCCAGAGGTCCAGTATGACTCCACGGTCGTGCCGCCGCCGCATTTCCCTGTTGAGCTGCAGCTCATGGGAGAGGATCGCCCCACGTGGTGCCGGGTCCCTGCGGAGCCGCGCCCCTTCGCGGTGGTGCCGCCAGTTGGCTGTGCTAGATATCCCTACCCGTGGCACAGGCTCCAGACAGAGTTCCAACGGGTCAGCTGTGCCGACGATCTGAGCCTGCTCTGGGACTCCGTGCTGCGAGGGGTGGACTACGAGCTGGCAGGGCGTTACGACTGTGTGGGTGCTAAGGCCATGCAGTACATTGGACGCGAGGGGCCGCCGCAGTTCAAGTGGCAGCACTTGTCATGGCAGCCGCCACGCAGGCGTACCTACAAGGAGCCGACCGTGCTGGCCTGGGCCACGGCGAAGCGATGGGCCCAGCACCTTGTGGCGGAGAAGAAGCGGCTGGCGAGGTACATCGAGCGCCTCAAGCTCTGTGCTGCCGTGTGTGACATCACGCCGCTGCAGTACACTAAGGTCGCAGTGGCTTTCAACGAGGCGGCTGCCTTTTATAGACGCGCGGCTCGGTCAGAGCATGTGCTGTGTGTTTTGGATGCTGCCTTCGCAGGCTTCTTTCGGCGAGGGCTGACTGGCCTGGTCGAGTCTGACTTTGAGGACGTAGCCAAGGCCATCATTGCCAGAGCTGATCATCATTTGAGAACGGCACAAAGAGCGTCAGAGAAGGCCTGGAGGCAGTGGGCCAAAGAAGCCTTCCTGGGAGGAGCATCTCGGGCACATTCGTCCTCCAAAGTTCGGGCTCGACAGGAGGTGCTTGCCTACTCCCACGACGCTCAGCCATACCAGATGGCTGACCGCGCGCTCGACAAGTGGAAGGACGTTTGGACCTACCACGGTGCATGTTCTCTGTCGCTGCCTGCCGATCACGCTCAGTGGCCTTTGCTTCCGCCTTTGTCTGCATCGCAGGTGCGTGGGGCCATCAGGAGTTTTCCGTTGAAGACGGCCTCGGGCCAGACGAGGATCGCGCCACGCACGCTCGATGTGTTGTCCGACCAGGCCTTGCAGAGCCTGGCCGATATGTTCATGCTGTTTGAGAGTTGGCTGGCCTGGCCCACGGACAGGCTCTACAGCGAGCTTGTTCGCCTGCCCAAGCCTGACGGGGACACTAGGTTGATCGTCCTCAGCAATACCTTCGTCAGGTTGTGGGGAAAGCTACGTCGGCCGCTTTCGGCGGAGTGGCAAGAGGCGCATAGGTGCGAGCATATGTGGGGGTCAAGGGCTGGGCAGACTTCGACCGATTCAGCCTTCGACCACAACCTGAGCCAGGAGATAGGAGAACTTTTAGGTGAGCACACATGCACCATTCTCTTGGACATGACCAAGTGCTTCGATATGGTCAGTCACAGTGCACTTCTCCGAGAAGCTAGAGAGCTCGGGTACCCGCTGAGGCTCCTGTGGTTGCTCCTGGGCTCCTACCGTCAGCCGAGAAGGATCAAGTGCTTTGGATCTGTATCTAGGCCCTTGGTGGCCCATCAGGGTATTCTTGCGGGCTGCACGCACGCCACGTACCTTCTATACCTCCTCACGTACCGAGCGGTCCAGCGCACGGCCAGTATTGCACCCTCTATCACGCCACGCACGCTCATGGACGATGTGGGTTTGCAGTACGTGTCGCCCGTATTGAGGGAAGTGTCCAACCTGGCCCGAGCGGCCAAGGCGTTCACGTCGGATGCAGGAGATCTTGGGATGGTCCTGAAGCCGCCGAAGTCTGGATGTATCCCTGGGAACCAAAAGGTTTGGGGACAGCTCAAGAGGCACCTGGGAACCTTGAAGATCCCGTACAGGGCCCACATGAGGAATCTGGGACACGAGCTCACAGGACCTCGAGTTCTTCGGCATATGGAGAAGCGTAGGTTGGTGCAGTTTCGAGAGCGCAAGCATCGTTTTCGCATGTTGAAGTCCGCCGTGGGGCGGAGTGCTACCAGCTTGTGGCGCACGGGCGCCCTTCCATCAGTGGCGCATGGCGGTGCAGTTGCTGGAGTTAGCGACAGCGCTCTTCGTGAGTTGCGACATTGTGCTGCAGTCCTAAATGGTGCTCCAGGTAAGACGATGGTTGGGGTAACAGCGTATCTCATATCTCATCGGGATGAATGTTATGACCCCATATATAACGCCACCACGGACATTGTGCTCAAATACGCCTCCTGGATCTGGGACGGGCGAGTGCAACCTAGCAGACTTCGGGAGGCTTGGGTACGTCTGGGTGCTAAGTTTGAGAGTTCACCTTCCTGGGCCAAGGCGCGTGGGCCCCTTGGGGCCACCTGGCTTACTTTGAGGCGCATATCCTGGACTATGTCGTCAGAGCACATCCTGGTCGACGATTTGGGAAACAGTTTTGGTTTATATCGTGTATGTCCAGCAGACCTACGAGTGTTCCTGCATCAAGGCATTCAGCGCTGGCAGCACCATAGGTTGCAGCAGCATTTTTACACCGAGCAGGCGGACGTGTGGCATCGTGCGCTGCGCCACGCGCTCGCCAAGATAAAGTGTCACAGGCGCCTCGGAGCGCTGCAGGCTTTGTGGGCTGACAACCTTCCCATCCCACCGCGTCGGGACATGAAGCACGGGAGGTCCATTAGGCCATGTCAGGCCTGCGGCAAGGCTAGCGACTCCTGTTGGGGTCATATCTTTTACGACTGCCCGCCGCTCCTCGAAGGGGACCCCGACCAGGAGTATTATGAGTTTCCAGAACAGCTTCAGGAGGTTCGTGGCATGCTTCAGGCGTCTGGTCAGATGCTGGGGCGCGCCGACTGGGACCAGAGATACCTGATCTATGGGGTTCCACAGCCTGTTGCAGTACCGCACTACACCACGGTCTCCAATGAGGTTTTTGAATGGGGAGATGTCTTGGGCTCTTGGGGGCCTACGTCATATACTGACGGCTCGGGGTTCTCGGCCAGCATTCCTGAAGTACGTAGGTGTGGGTGGTCGGTCTGCCAGCTGGACCCCGTCACGTTTTTCCCCGCCAGAGCTGTATATGGGCCCTTGCCCTACTATGTGCAGACAGTAGGACGTGCTGAGCGCTATGCCATCAAGATGGGACTTCAGAGGCATCCTGGGCATGAGGCTTTCATTTCTGATCTGAAATCGCTCGTGGAGGAGGGTGCGTCCTGGGACCAGAGGCTCGAGTTTGGCAAAGCGAAGCACGCCCGAGTCTGGAGAGATATTTTTTCGGCTGCCAGAGCACGCGATCCACGTCTGCCACCAGTGCGGTTTCAGTGGACTCCAGCTCACAGGAAGCTGGAGGACGTCATCGGGTCGGCCACGCCAGACGAGCTGGAGGCCTACGTCGGCAATGCCTGGGCCGACTTCTTCGCGAAGTGTGGCAGTGCTGCGCACATGGTGTCAAAGACACTGGCTGACAGTTTGGCAGCTGGGCTGAAGCAGCACAAGCAGGTCCTGCACTATGTGTCGTGGGCGGCCCTCCAGGTTGTGCAGTTTCGGAAGTGGGGAGCTGACCCTGTCGTGGTGCACGACCCAGAGCTCGCCCAGGTGCCCAAGCGTGTGGTTTTCGAGAGGCCCCAGGACCACGAGTTGCTATTCTGCCAGAGGACGTCTGAGTATCGGTGTCGACGGTGCAATCGTGTCGCTCGGAGTGCGAGTACCCTCCAGACTCTTCGTTCGGGAGCTGATCGGGTATGTGCGCCCTCGCCTCTCGTCCAGAGCCTTGCCGAGGACTTCTTTCTGCGGAGTTCTGAGGCGTGGCTGAGTGTTTCGGATTCTAGGGTAGCGGCGGCCATCGAGGCGGCCGATAGGATGTTGGGGTCCACGTCTCGGCCTTTGGAGGCCTCCTCGGGGTTCCCCGCGGTCCCTCCCCAGCCGCTGGAGCAGGTGTCTGCTGCCAGTGGCTTGGCCGACGTTCCCCAACCTGTGCTTGCCGAATTCGCTGAATTGGGGCATGACGTTTTCTGTGTTAATTCCGTGTATTGCTGCCGCAAGTGCGGGGGCAATTTCAACGGGTCCGAGTCCTTCAGGTCCGCCCGCAAGCTGCGGGCGCGGTGCCAAGGTTTCTCGGAGAATCCAAAGACTAGGGCGAACCAGCTCACGGCGATCGACCGTATTGCCCGTGGCCTGGAGCCCCGCCAGCGTGGGGCAGGAGCGGCGCGTTCTGGCCCGAACCCTGCCCCCTAGTGTTTTCTTTTGGACTTGGGCCTGGGAGGTTTTCTTGGGTGTGGTTTTCCTGAGGCGCCCCACCCTCTCCCAGGCTTCCGCCTCCCGCCACCCCTGTGGCTCTCAGGTCTCACACGCGGTTGGTGTTCGTCACTCGGACGCCTCTCCTGCGGCTCGCTCGCTCCCTCCTCCCTCCTCCCTCCTCCCTCCTCCCTCCTCTCTCCGCCCTCCGCCCTTTCCTCCTCCTCCTCCTCCTCCTCCTCCTCCTCCCTCCTCCTCCTCCTCCTCCTCCTCCTCCACTGGCGTCTTCGAAGTTCCCCAGAAAGGAAAAGGGTTCCATCAGGGCAATGACCTGTCAGGCGGTGTGGCCGCATGGGGGGGCTGCAGAGGCCGGCTACCTCGTCGAAGATGCGCGCCCTCTGTGCGGCCGGGCGGGCGATGCCGTCATGCGCCGCCTGCGGCATGGCCCTCGCTGCGAGGAGACTCGAGTCGGGGTTATAGGAAAGCGTCTCTTGAACAGAGTTCGCTCGGACCTCGACCTGGGCACCAAGCCTGGGCTAAGTTTGTCTGTGAGGCGTTGTTTTCTACATCCTGCTGCAGAGGTACCTGGGCCTTCGAGCCTTTCAGATGCTCTCGGCCCGGAGGGATTCCGGGTCTTGCCCGAGGCCTTCGAGGCCGATGGCCTCGATTTTCCGTCCGAGGGGGTTAGGTAGCCTCAAGGGCCAGTATTTGGATGGCTCGTGCATGCGACGTGCGACCAAGGACCTGTCTAGATCGGGTTGGGGCGCTGTGATGGTCGGTGCTTCGCGACACCTCGTTGCTCGGATATTGGGGGCCTTCGGAGGCCACCTTTCCCAAGACCAGAGTAACTGCCGAGCTCGCGGTTCCGATCTCGGCTGCGAGCGTGCTCAATGGCCCAGTTGACGCCTACACTGACTGCCAGGTAGTTTGTACATCAGTATAACCAGAGCCGTGAAGCCATATCGTCTTTGCGGTTGTTACACGGCGGCCTCGTGACGCAGGTCGATGCGTTCGTTGGACAGCTCATGCAGTCTGTGAACGCATCGGGAAGATGGCGCCCCCCATTGCCAGCCTGCGCGCGCGCACGCTGCTGGCAACAGAGTTGCGGACGAGGCTGCCAGATGAGGAGCCCGTCTGCACCCGGATATGGAGGCAGCGTCTCGTGAAAGCCTGTCGTTCTCGATCGATGCGTCCAGGAGGCGGCCACGAAAGTAGCTTCTAAGAGTTTTGTGTTTGTGGCCGCGGGCAGATCTCAGCGCAGTTGCGCGCACACCAGCTGCCGCTCGTCCGCCGAAGCCTGCGGGCCCAGCTCACGAGCGGACGTGGGCGGGAAGGCCTTGGCAGTGCCAACGGTACCCTGCGAGGCTCGTGGAGCACCCTCGAGCCGCCTGCCGGGACATGCTCACGAGCGCTCAGGGTCGATTGGGAACCCCCAAACCGGGTGGTGAGATACCAGGTGGTGACCTGGAATCCCCAAAAAGGTCACCGCTGGGTTTGGGGACGCGGGGTCACCTCCGGGTTTTGTGACTCCTGGACCCCACCAGTGTCCGGGACATCCTCGGAAAACCGCACGAGTCCCCAAACCGGGTGGTGACACCAAATCGCCCGAGACTCACCGCCAGGTGTTGTCACCACCACGTTTGGGGATTACCAAGTCGAGCCCTCTGCATTGGCGTGAGGTGGGCCATCGCTGCGTCGGGAGAGGTTCCTCGGACGACGAGTTCGCCTGTGTCTGCCAGCCCTGCCGCGCGGTTGCTTCCGGAGGTCAAGTGCGGAGCCTCGCGGAGCGATGTCTGGAGCGGCCCGCGAGGCGCAGCGAAGCTTGGTCGAGACGTAGCAAGGGACTCCACCCTGACCACACGAGGAAGTGAGCCACGGCCGATCTCGAAACTGCTTGCCCTATTGTAGTTGGTGCCTTTGGCTGCGGATGTCCAAGGTCAGCGTTCTCTTCTCCAACTTCCCCCCCCCCCCTCTTTCGCGACGAACCACCCCTGCAGGCTGCGCAGTCCTCCCCCCTCTTCCTTCATCCCCCCCCCTCCCCCGCTCCCTGCTCCTCCTCTCGCCCTGCTCCTGCAGCCCCCCCCGCTGTGGAACAGCACCCTGCCTCAGCCGACCTCCTCCTCGTCGTGCCCTCTCCTGCCCGTGCCGGCCGTCCCGCGCAGGAGATCTCGGGGCTGAGCTCGGACATCGAGACGGCCACCGCGCAGCGCGACAAGGACCCAGACCCGAGCAGCCCTTTTCTCCGTCCTCCTCCTCCTCCTCCTCCTCCTCCTGATCCTGGTCCTCGTCCTCCTCCTCCCCCTCGGAACCCGTGGCCCCCCTGGCGAGCATCACCCCACGAGCGGCTCGCGGCACCCCGAGCAGCCCCTTCCTCAGAGCCCCGAATCATCCGGGGCTGGGTCAGGGCTAACTCGGGTTCGTTTTTCGGGAACCCGGACCCGAGTTACCCCGGACCCGAGTTACCCCGGATATTTCGGGCGTCCAGAGCCCCGAATCATCAGGGGTAACTCGGGTCAGGGCTAACTCGGGTTCGTTTTTCGGGAACCCAACCCGAGTTACCCCGGACCCGAGTTACCCCGGATATTTCGGGCGTCCAGAGCCCCGAATCATCAGGGGTAACTCGGGTCAGGGCTAACTCGGGTTCGTTTTTCGGGAACCGCCCGAGTTACCCCGGACCCGAGTTACCCCGGATATTTCGGGCGTCCAGAGCCCCGAATCATCAGGGGTAACTCGGGTCAGGGCTAACTCGGGTTCGTTTTTCGGGAACCCAAACCCGAGTTACCCCGGACCCGAGTTACCCCGGATATTTCGGGCGTCCAGAGCCCCGAATCATCAGGGGTAACTCGGGTCAGGGCTAACTCGGGTTCGTTTTTCGGGAACCCAAACCCGAGTTACCCCGGAGTATTTCGGGCGTCCGACCCGAATCATCAGGGGTAACTCGGGTCAGGGCTAACTCGGGTTCGTTTTTCGGGAACCCAAACCCGAGTTACCCCGGACCCGAGTTACCCCGGATAACTCGGGCGTCCAACGACCCGAGCAGCCCCTTCTGCAAGCCGCTGATCTGCGAAGAAGAGACGGCACGGCGTGGTTTTCACCGCTTACGGTGGAGGCCCATGCCAAGTGCGCCCCGCTTGCCTCTAGGGTGCCCCGGGTGTCTTGGGTTTCGCTGGCTTTGCTGTGGAGAGCGCGGAGAGCGTGACGCTCCCGCACCAAGAAACAATGGACGTCCTGGGGTCTCAGGGTCGGGTTTCTCGTGGAAGGTTTCTTGTGGACTGGCCTCCACTGGATGTTTCTGGCCCGTACACATAAATTGTTGGCGCTCCGCGCTGGATTTCTTGGATCCGCTCTGGGCCCCCCCGCGGCGGCGCCGCCGGCGCCGCCCCTGGCGCGCTCTCCGCGCGCCAGGGAGGGGGGTCCAGCGCAAATCCAAGAGATCCGCGCGGAGCGCTGAAATTTATGTCTATGCCGTCTTCTCTTCTTCTGGAGCAGCCCCTTGCGGGCAACTGAGTGCGTCATGCTCGCCAAGGGTGGCACCCGCGGGCCCATCCAGGGCGAACCAATCGCCGGAGGTGCGCGGACTCGGCTCCCGCGTGGGAGGCTACCCTGGATACTTGCCTAGGCGACCACCCTTCGGGTGATGAGGAGGTTCGGGGGGAGCAACGTCTCGCTCAATCGATCTCACTATCGATCTCGCTCGATCGATCTCACCGTCGATCTCACAATCGGTCTGACTGTCGAGCTCATAATCGATCTCACTGTCCCTGTCACGATCGATCTCACAATCGGTCTCACTGTCGATTTCACAATCGATCTCACCATCGAGCTCACCATCGATCTCACTTTCGATCTCACTATCGGTCGTACTGTCGATCTCCCTATCGATCCCACTATCGATCTCACGATCGACCTCACTATTTTTCTCACTCGACCACGGGACACCACGGGACACCATGGGACTCCGCGCCGCGGGACAGCATGGGACACCGCGGGACATTACGGCACATCACGGGACACCAAGGGACATTTTAGCGGGACTTTCCCAGCACTTGCGTCGCACGCGGACGGGGGAGGCGAGTTTCTGTCCTGGCGGCGCCCTCGCAGTGGAGGGCTCCTTCCTTTCGCCCGCCCACGCAGCTTCGCTACGCCCGCACTCACGACACGAACACGAAGCCGATTTCCTCTGCGGTCTCCCAGCGATCATATTTCACCTCCAGGAAGCTCACCGCCCACCAAACCACCCCAACCCAACCCGAAGGCCACGATTTGCCTTCCATTTCCAGTGGGGGGGGGTCGGGGAACATCGAAAAAACACGTGGAACCCGTACCCCCCCCAAACCCGAAATTCGGGTCAGATTCGGGTCTTCGGGTTAGGTTGGGGTGGTTTGGTAGGTAGTCAGAAGCATTGCAGGCTGAAGAGCGTCGCGACCGCAGCCGGAGGCGGCCCGCGCGCGGTGCCTCGCCGGCGTCGACGCCTCTCGCGCCCGCGCAGCGCGGCTTCGGTCTGCGCCGCCGCGGAGGAGGGATTCCGCGCGGGCGCATTCGACGCCCTCCTCCTCCTCCTCCTCCTCCTCCTCCTCCTTCTCCTCCTCCTCCTCCTCCTCCTCCTCCTCCTCCTCCTCCTCCTCCTCCTCCTCCTCCTCCTGTCCACAACCGAGAAAGCAAGCGAGGCGGCGCGCCGTGCGTGCCGGCCAAGGGTGCACCAGCACGCCCTGGCTGGGGGGCTTCCGCCCGCGCGCTCTTCGACCAACATCTGGCCGACCAAACTGTCGCGGAAACCGATCAAAGTCTGTGGACCACCGCCGTCGTGCATCATTCCATCACCACGTTCCCAGGTGGCATTGTTGCGCCTCTTGTGGAGCTCCTCCGGATGGAGCCCCCCCATATGTTGGCGCTGGCGCGGCGACAGGTCCACGACCGCCCCCCCGCCGCGGGGGGCCTCCTTCGCGAGGGACCCAGCGTGCTGTGTGTTGTAGCTCGCGGCCGAGGCGAGCTGCTTCTGGCGTCTCTGACCCTCGTCGGCAGGCTGCTGCCTGGCGCCGACCGCGCCTGGCCGGCATCTCGCGGAAAGTCCAAGGCGCGGGCCCCGGTGCACAGCATGAGTTCGTCAGTTTATCGTTGCCTGCCTCGGGCTGGATCATCTGCGCACATGTGATCCGTCTGCCACGCGCAGCCGATCATTCTCTGGGCCGAAGTCCTCGCCCATGCTTTCGCCCATGCCCTGGCCCACAACTTGCCAGCTGTCGCAGATCTGACCCAGCGCTGGGTCACCTGGCCCGTCCGCGCCCCGCGGTGCGCTTCTGGGGCAAGAGCGCGCCGATCTGCCTGATGATGTGCGCGTGAACATTGTCCTCGCCCATCTCGCGAGCCTGGCCGAGGCCCTCGCGCAGCGCCGCCGCGCGCCAGCGCAGAGGTTCGGACGGCGAGGCCGGCGTCGCTTCGGGTGGCACCTCGGCGACGGGCCGAGGAACTCCGTCGGGATCGGGCTGATTCGGCGCAGTCCGATGGACCTTCTGTCTGTCGCGGACGTTCCGGCCCGGGCGGCCCTGGCCGGGTCGCGCTGCAGGTGCAGTGATGGATGCGGCGGGCAAGTCCGAGGCGGGCGCAGTCTTGGCGGCGCAGCTGCCAGCAGCGCCAGGTGGTTGCGCAGCCCGGGCGGGAGCGGTCGTCGCGCCTAGCGACGTCGCGGCGGCCGGGTTCGACTGCGCGGCCAGGCCGGCGGACTCTTGGATGGCCGCAGCGGGTTGGGCTGGGCGACGGGCCGAGAAGCGCCGCCGCCCCCGGTCGCGTCCTGCTCCTGCGCCGCTTCTTCCGCAGGGCCGCCGCCGGCGGATTGCGCGACGGGGTCTCCCGGCGCCGGCGCGGCGCAGGGAAGCGGGCGCGCGAGCTGCGCGCGGGCGCCCGCGGCGCGGCGGGAGATGCCAGCGTTGCGCGCGCAGCCGCGTCGGAGATCAGAAGCCGCGACTGAGGCTGAGGAGCGGCGGCGGGATCAGGGGTTGCCGCCCCCAAGGGGATCTCGAGGCGCATGCCATGGCGTCGCGCCAGTCGTCGCGCGCGGTCGCCCCAGGGAGGCACGCGCCCACTGGCGCTGGAACCCTTCTATGGGAATTGCCCCGAGAACGATTCCCACATCGCTGAATCGCGCCAAAGCTGGCGCCACCAGAACCCATCTCTCTGTGGCTTGCGTGGATGCGCGCGCTGTCATCGACGGCGCAGACTTCCGTCGCTTCGTCGCAGGACGCATTCCAGCCGCCCACGACGACGCAAGCGACTGGCAAGCCATGCGTTGCATCCCGCGAGATGCTCGTTGCCTCTCCGAGGATGGCTTCCCGCTGCAGCATGGCCGGGCGCGGCGCGCGCCCGCAGGGGGCGCGCAGATTGCCGACGACCGGCGCCGCGACAGCAGGCTGCGCAGCACCGCCGCGACGGCCAGCACGACCCCGCGCTTCGGCGGGCTGAGGAGAGCCGCCGGAGAGGCCGCAGGGAGATCTGGGGCGCGCGATGCGATGCCGAAGAAGTCTACGTCCGCCCGTCTCTCCGCGGAGCATAGGGCAACGCCAGATGTTCGCGCGCGCAGGGCGGAGCTGCGCGCGTTCCGCAGGCGCCCGCGCGCCCCGCTGGCGAACACGCGGCGGGACGGGAAGAAGGGGCGCACGAGCCTATCGAAGGCCATCGCATCCACGCCCTGGCGATAGCCGCCCAACTCGCAACCGCAAACGAGATCCGCGTCGCCATTGTCTCCGAGGTGCTGGATGCACACGGCGGCAATGCTCGGACATTTCCAGATGTTTCTGCGCCCCCGCCTTGGCAGTCAGCAGGGCGTTGCTCAAGGTTATTTCTATAGTGTCAGATGCCAGTGTAGACATAAGGCGCCGTTGAGTATATCCATGTCGTCTGGGGCTGAGAAGCTGCGGCCCTGCGCCGACGCCGCGAGAGTGCGGGTCTGCTGCCGGTGCGACCTCAAAGGCGGGAGGTTTTGGAATTTCCTTCAGTGTTGGGGTACTGTTATGCGTTATGTGTAACCCTTATTTTTCTGTGGGGTGGGGCTTTCTCCCGCTGTTCCTCGCGTCTCCGCCTCTCTTGCCCTGCGTCCCGTTTCCTCGCCACATTGCCACCCGTGCTACATTCATTTTCTCGCATGTTGGATTCTCGTGTTCTCTCCGCTGCGCCGCGCGGCCCCTCCTAGCCCTTTCGCCCCCCCATATTTCCTTCCGCCATT